GTCTTGTAACTTTTCCTTAAGCAAAAAAACAAAACCCCCAAAAATATCGGTTTTCAGGAAAGCTGGCAGTTGAGGAAAGGCGTCAGTGATGTCGGGGAAGAAGTGGACTACGATGAAGAGCTGTACGTGGCCAGCAATATGGTTATCTGGAGCAAAGGAAGTAAAAACCAAGCGTCTACCGTTTATAAGGCTTTCACTGTCGACAGCCCTGTTCTGCAGGTATGGAAAGGTGGTGGCTGAATGAATGCACGTCAGCTAAAAAATACTCGCTGGCTGTTTTCAAGCAGTGTTCTGAGGTGGGGTTATTTTGGGAAATACAGAAAGATGAGATTGCGTAGCAGCATCAACGTTCTCCAGAAATAATTACATGGTATTTGGTTTTAGGCCTTGTGGTGCGACTTCACTATACCCCAGGAAAAATCTGAAAAAGCTGACGGTAAGTTTCCTGCTTACTGTAATGCCACACAGATGTTTTGAGCTCAGCTCTCTTGGCATGATAAATTTAGTCATCAAGACTTGCCATACCATGACAGCCACCCCCTCTCAAATTTATATTTTGTATATAGAGGATGTCTAAGGAAAGAGAGAAACTTTACTATGTGGCGGTTTGTTTTTGTTTTTTTCCCCGGTTTCAGGCAGTGATGAAATAGTAGAAAAATGTATCTGCATATTGCAGAATTCCTGTATAAATGTGCATAGCATAGAGGGAAAGGATTACATTGCTGCTTTACCTTTTCAGGTAAGTGCTGAACTTTTTTTTTTTTTTTTATCCACAAATGGGCTTGTTATCTGGTTGCATGCTACGTTGGGGTGGGGCGGCGTGTGTAAAACACTGCTGGTGGTGGCTGCTGGAGTTCTTTGCTCTGTGGGTGAAAGCGACAAAGCTGATGAAAGTGCAGCTGTGTGGTTAGGGCATTGAATACTTCTGGAAGCAGTGGCAGCTGGCTGTGTGATGTGGGAAAGTATGGGTATGACTGCTTTGTAGTCTGAGAACCTGCTCCGATTTACGTTACCCTTTTCTTCTCAAGAAAAGGCCTGAACATCTTATTTTCCTATAGCGAGCTACTCAAATGTGAAACATAATCAATATAGTAAGTACTTGATTTTTTTTTTTTGGTCATAGATCTATTTGTAATTTTTTTATAGGTCGCAAATGTCTGGCCAACAAAATATGGTTTGTTATTTGAGCGCAGCAGTTCTTCACATGAAGTACCTCCAAGTCCACCCAGGTACGTAATGAGTGGCTTTGATTGTTTCGTTACAGACTGTTTGCTAATCTAATACAGCAGTGCAAGAATTGAAGAGCAGTAATGAAAGGATCTGTGTGTTCATGGCAGGGACAGGTGAAATCAGGTGAAACATCAGGAAATAGCAGGAAGGGGCTGAATGCTGACAATCACGATATTCCTCTGATACTGTGTTAAGAACTAGTTGGGAGTGGTGATCCTGGGAATAGGATGTGGGAGGCACGATCTGTGTGTTACTAGCCTGATTTCCTTAAGGTTAGTCCTGCGAATTGGTTCCAGGCTGTGATGGACGACTGGAAGATTCACTGAGGGGTTGTCATTGAGGCATTTTCTCTCAGCTGCAGGATGCTTTAATGTGTGGAGCACCCTGTTACCTGTTTGGTGAGGATCGTATGTCCTGTGCTCTGTGGTTGGGCGTACAGCTGAGAAGCAGAGTAAGGAGTTGGATGGTGTGCTGATGAGCAGCTTTAATACAGCCACTTGCTCTCTCTTGGGCTTTATGTGTCCTTTCCAGGCCCTTGTGACTCTCTAGCCCTCGGAAGAGTTGGGATTAGAAACAGAGGTCCTGAAAATCTTCAAGAGGGTACATTGCAAAAATCATGATTGACCCTACTCAGGCTGGCCTTCTGTGAAAATTCTTCCTTTTTGCTGCTGCCACCACAGATGGGTGGCTTGATTGCTGCTCTGTGGTGGATACAAATGACCTGATAGCTGGCTGCTCGTCTGGGACCTGGGAGCTGTGGAACCTAAACTCTTAAGCTGAGTCTGGGTTAAGGGCTTTCTCCTCTTCCTGCTCTTCCTCCTCCTGATTTAGCCGGTGCCAGCTCTGTTCACTCGGGCCAGCCAAAGCCTGTCCTGTGGCCACCAGGTGGGGTCATTCTCAAGTGCTCCAAGATGTAAAACAAGAACCTAATCATCCTCTTTGATACACCAGCCTTTGACTCTGCTCAGTTAATCCAGCAAGCTTCTGTGAACAGAATATATGTCTCTACTGTTAGATTTCAGGCTCTGATTTGTTAAGGTCTGATGAGCAGCTTTGGGATCGCAGCACACGTACCAGCTACAAGAGAGAACAGTTATGCTTGTTAGCATGTGGTTTTTGAGCGTGCTTTGTTTGGTTTCTTTCTAGAGAACCTTTGCCTACTATGTTCAGCATGCTACACCCATTAGATGAGATAACACCTCTTGTCTGTAAGTCCGGAGGTAAGGTTACATCTTTAGATGTATCATTCAGAGTCCATCAGTATGGTATCAAATGCTTAACGTGTCACTTGATTGTTTTCTGTATTACAAAATTTGCAAATAATCACTCTTTCAAGAATTCAGAAGCGGGGCGTTTTAGCTGCTTCATGAACAGGAAAACTGTTCAGGAAAGAAACACAAATCATGCAAATCGTGGAAGAAAGAGGGTAAATGCTAACCCTGTAACTGATAACTCTGCTGTAGAAATGATCCTTTCTCCTTAACTGATGTTAACCACTTCTTTAGCAGGCGTGTTTGGTTCTGCTAGAGTGCAGTACGTTGCTGATTACACCTTGAGGATTGTGTTTCTCAACGCTGAACCTTCCATTGTGATGACATATGATACTGTGCAGAGTTTACATACTGTTTGGGCTCTTCGGAGAGTAAAGCCAGAGGTACAAATTCATTATCAACTAAATATAATTATAAAATTTTTTTGTGTGTGTTTACATGCCCTTATGGCTGTGTGTGATAGAAATGCCTGGTATTTGTGATTTATTTTATTTGTAAGAGTAAGATGTTTGTTGGTGTGGGGTTTTTTGTTTGGTGGGGGTTTTTTTGGTTTTGTTTTTGGTTTTTTGTTTTTTAAATAGTTTCTTTCAGGTATTTGCCTGTACCACAGTCAGGGAGATCACATGATGGTGATGGTCACAAAGTATACCATGCTTATGATATTTCTTACGTTGTACTGGAAGGTTTTGACTCTACTTAAACTGCTGCGTTCTGTAAGAAAAGTGACAAACAACTTAGTGCCCTGAAAACCATAGGAGTGGTTTCTGTGACTGAGGGAGAGAGCATGGTTGGTAGGAATGAATTCTTAGGCTGACCACCTACCTAAGCGTTAATTTTTTTAACACCTAATTGATGAAACAAGCTATCTGAGCGTCTTCCTGGCTGTTATTGCCCATGTGCTCTTTGTGCATAGACAGCTCTGTTTTGTCTCCCAGGAGCAGAACACGGTGCTGAAGTTCTCTGAGCAGATGGGCACACCGCAGCACGTGGCCACTAGCAGCTCTTTGACAGCTCATCTCAGAAGCCTCTCAAAAGGAGACTCTCCTGTGGGCTCACCTTTCCAGAACTACTCGTCTATCCACAGCCAGAGCAGATCGGTGTCATCGCCCAGCATGCAGTCCCGCTCGCCCTCTATCTCCAACATGGCTGCTTTGAGGTGGGTGCTGAACATGATGCGTAGACAGACCTTACCAAAGAATACGAGCTATGGAATAGGACGCACATCTGGAATTGCTGTCTGTCTTTCTCTACTGTTAAAAAAGTCTGTCCATCTAAGGTGTCTCCTCTGTTACAGCATCTGAAAGCCCTCTTGGAGAAGGCCCTTGTGACACGTGGTGTGCTAGCGTCCCTGTAGCACAAGCGGGTAATGGGTGTGCAGGAGCCAAAGAGGCTGTTCTGTCAGTCTGTAGTGGAGTCGGGGACTGTCTGCAGGTCTTTTGAGTCTCGGGAGTGTTTTCAGTTAGCTTTTCTAAAGGAAGTCATATTTAGAGGGAACAGGTTGGGAGAGATTTTTGATGGAATGGACCACGCAACTTAAAATGTTAGTTTTCTTGCTTTTGAAATCTCACCTATTTGATTCTGACAGAAGACTGGAGAGTAATTAATATTTTCCTGTGCTAGGGTGTACTGCTAAAGGAAGCTAATACTGAACTAGCTACTGGTTTAGGGTGGTGTTGGTTGTGTGTTGTTTTTTAAAGTCTCTACCAGTGTATGAACTCCCTGGCTTAGCAGGAGTTCTGTATCTGACTTTGTAAATCCACTCTTCAATGGTGTCTTATGTCTTTGCTTGCAGCCGCTCTCATTCTCCTGCCCTGGGAGTGCATTCTTTCTCGGGGGTGCAGAGGTTCAACTTTTCCAGTAATGCTCAGTCACCGAAGAGGCACAGTATTACCCATTCTCCAAACAGCACTTCCAGTGATTCCTTCCTTATTCCAGAAACCGAACCAATTGTTCCTGAGCTGTGTATAGATCACCTGTGGACAGAAACAGTCACAAACATGAGGTTAGGTGCTTGTGTTGGGATGTGAGAAGTTCTGGATTTCCATTGGGGGTGGGCGGGGGAAATAAAAGAACAGTTTATTTTGGTGTGTGCTTTCTGTAAATGGTGCTGCCTTAAAATAGATGTGTGGACCTGCACTTCCTAATTTTTTTGGAAAATGATGCCCACTAAGCGTGCAGCTCTCTTGAAAAGGGAATTGGGCGCTTGGAACAGTTTTACCTGCTGTGTTATCTGTAGCCCTCTGAGGTGGGGAATGGTTTAATGATATCTGTAAAACAAAGTAGGTTCTAACCTGGTCATTGCTTCGGGGTCGTTTGGGGTTTCTTTGATCTTCCAGGGGGAGTGTCTCTTTCTGTGTTACCATCAAAAGGGCAAACCACAGCATAAAACCTCAGATTGAACAGGAGAACAAAGCCAAATAGCATGTGCTCTGCAAGCCAAAAAGTGGGGAATGTGAAGGTTGGAGTGCTAGAAAATCGATTTTGAGAGTAATGACTGAAGCTGAGACTGGTGCATTCTGGCAACTTGGTGCACTGCTAATTGAAGTCCAGTGTGACCTTACAGCTTGTGGACACTGTGTTTTCCTTCACCAATATTTTTATGGTAGACCAAACAGTGTGCTGATCATTGTGTCTCTTTTACAGAGAGAAGAATTCCCAAGCATCAAAAGTGTTTATTACCACTGACCTTTGTGGGCAGAAGTTCTTGTGCTTTTTGGTGGAATCCCAGCTCCAGCTGCGGTGAGCATCCCTGTCTTGGGGACAAGTGAACAAAGAGGAGCACTCTAGAAATTACAAGCTAGATGTGGGTTTTAACATACTTATTCCTCCAGCTAGTGGAATCTGTTATGACAACATGTGGTACGTCACTGGCTCTCGTATGACATGTTTTTAACTATGGTGACATAGATGATTTGGGCTATTTAAATAACAATGAGGTTGCAAGAGAACATTCACTGTAATTTGAACGGGATTCTTATTTATCCTCATCTTTACCCTTTAGAAGTACGTTGGGGGTTTTTGTTAGACTAGTAGAGTAAAAATAAGTTGACTAGCAGGGCAAAACAAGTGAAGGAAGGAGGAAGCAACCAGATATACCACAACAAAACTGACTGCACCGTGCAACACAGTTTTAATTTTCTATCTTCTTTCTGTAAGCACAGATAGGACAGTCCTTTATGTGTCCTGTTTATTTCTCAAATCTCTAGGTGTGTAAAATTTCAAGAGAGCAACGATAAGTCGCAGCTGATCTTTGGTTCTGTTACCAATATTCAAGCAAAGGATGCAGCTCCAGTGCAGGTATGTACCTCTGAATGGACTTTTAACTGTGGAGTATCCTGTTTTGTCACTTGTGTTGTCCAACTGTTGTCTCTTTACTTAAATACAAGAAGCTGAGTATTCTGCTTGATTCTTGCAGGGCATTGATACGCTGCTGGTTCTGGAAGGCAGTGGAAATCTAGTGCTTTATTCTGGCGTGGTTCGGGTAAGTAGCAGCAGTTTTCCTATCCCAAAATAAACATTTGAATCTTTGATTACAAACTGGGCTGTACAGAGGGATCCTGTGTGCATCATACCTTACAAGGTATCATTTTAAGCTTCCCGTAGACTGCTGCTTGCGTGGGACTTGCTTGGGAAAAGTGGCTCTGTGCTAACGTACCAAGTGTAGTTTACGTGCAGTGTTGAAAAGGTGGTTCTGAAGAATCAGTGGCACCTTGTGGTAAAATCAAATAATCTCTTGAGCTTATTTTCAGTGATAGTAAAGTATAAAGTAATAAAATGCTTTCAAAGAAAGAAAACTTCAAGAATATGGAAAATAAGAATTGTTCCTGAACAAAAAACTTTCAAGCTTCTCTCTAGCATGCCAGATAGTTTTAGATGTCAAATTGTTTTGCTTTACAGAGGGCTGTTATTAGGATGGACATGATAATCAAAACTTTTTCTTAAATTCTGTAGAGATGCACTGTGTTCTCTCTGTGTATGCAGAAATCTTGGACAGTGCAATTTGTACATGTGTGTGTGTATGCACGTGTTTGTGTGTGTGTCTGTATATATACACGCACATATGTATGTTAAAAAAAGTATACTTTCTGAAAGTAGAGCTTTCTCAGTGAAGCCCAGTGGGAGTAGACTTGTAGCAATAATGTACAATACTGCCCTTATATGGTAGTTTTTTCAGTGTGTTGTCATCTGAAGAAAGTACATGAAGTAATCTTTAATCTCTTCAAGAGATTTTAGTTTAAGTACATGCCCACTTTCCTTAAAACTTTTCCTTTAAGATTTTAAAACCTGATGATGTCTGTATATGGAAGCATAGGCATGAAAACCAACTATTTGTTTTCCTATATATTGTTCACAAAAAGGTGGGGAAGGTTTTTATTCCTGGGCTGCCTGCTCCATCCCTGACAATGTCCAACCAAATGCCTCGGCCGAGTACTCCCTTGGATAGTGTCAGCACTCCATCCAAGCCTTTGAACAAGCATCTGGGGCCCCTGGAAGAGGTAAGAAGAAAATAAGTCCTGCCTTGGAAAGGGTTTAGTGGTAACAGCTTCAAATGATTAGTTGATTTTAACTTTAAAGGTATCTTTTGGAGCTAAATCTTTTCTTTTTCTTCTATAAAACCCCTGAATAAACAGTGTTTAAATAAGTTCTGTTTAGTGCTACCCTATTAATTTATTTATGATTTCTGTAAAATGTCTGAGGCAGAGGTTGGGAAGATATTTATAGTTGTGTTCAAAATCCTTACTAGTATATTAAGAATGGCAATTTTAGCTGTCCTTTGCTCAGATCCTTTTATTCAAACAATTCGAATTAATCATTTTTACCACTTTTCAGGGTGTGCTTTTGTCACCAGTTCCAGAGCTAAGGGATTCTTCCAAACTTCATGACTCAACTTATGTTGAAGACTGTACTTTTCAGCAGCTTGGGACTTTCATTCATGCTCTGAGAGATCCTGTCCACAACAGAGTAACTTTAGTAGGTATTATCCTGTAATTTGAGTCAATGCTTTGGTAGCAAAGCGATGGTCAAGTTTGCTTCTACTGCATAGTGAGACATTGCTAGCAGCTCCTGATCAACAGCAAAATATCACAGCTGCATTGGTGGCTCCACATTTTTCTCTCTGTAGAATACTCTAGAAGTCACAGAATTTGATTGATTCCCTCAAGTGATTCAGCTCAAGATCTATTTCAAGCGTTTCATGGAGCTAGTATCTGAGGTTGCAAATCTCTAGTGTAGCAAATAGCCAGGGACTAGGAATATGCTTAATCCATAAATGAGTTCTGAGTTGATAGAAAAGGATCCTCGCTCTACTTTATGCATTTCATAATTTGACTCTTACCTTTTTTTATCCTTTTTAGGAACTCAGCAATAATACAATGGTTCGGATTACAATTCCTGAAATCGCCACTTCGGAACTAGGTATGATTCAGAATCCATCACATGAAATACGTTCCATAATTTTCGAGCATTCGTTTTTTGAGTAGTTTATGTATAGCTTAGACTGTAATGATTCAGTACCATATATTCCAAGCTCTATTCACTTATCTTCCAGAGCTGCTACCATTTATTTAGGTGTGCTCTGTTGCTTTTAGTGCTTCACCTGCTGCACTCTTAAAACTTCCTTTGTTGTTTAGGTTCCTTTGCTCTCTACTGTTGTGTATGTTCTTGCTTGAGGAAGGGCTGAGATGCCAGTTCAGACACAAGGTGGTTTCAGTAATGAGTAAAAAGGAAATTTTTTCCCCTTTGTGTGGTGAATTAGAGGGGCTGTGCTTAACCTGGACTAAAGGAACAGCTGTTGGAGGTTGTGTGGTGTGTGGCTTTTATTGAAAGAGTTGCCAGAGAGTTAAAAGGAGGTCCGAGAACTGTAAAGATTTATAGCACTGATTGGAAGAAGTACCAGCAGGTAAGATGGAAAGCACACCTAAATTTGTTTGTTTGTTTTCCCCCAACAGTGAAAAGATGTCTGCAGGGCATCAAAGCTATCCTGCCCAAGGAGATAGCGGTACAGATGCTTGTCAAGTGGTACAATGCTTATAATGCCCCAGGAGGACCAAGCTATCACTCAGAATGGAATTTATTTGTAACATGTCTCATGAATATGATGGGTTACAACACAGAGAGACTGTCCTGGACACGTCATGTAAGCAATCTTACATGTTTGTTTGCCTAGCTTACGTTAACGCTACTGATAATTCTTCAAGGTTCAAAATGGTTAGAGAGACACTGAAGTCAGAGATACAACCTATCTTGTCTTAAATCACAAGATGCCATCAAATCAATTCTGTCTTTCTAAATTTCAGGTGTACGCTTTAGTCTGTGTTTATCATGAAATACATTGATAAGGTACTTACCGCCAACTATCTTGGTCAAATAAAAATAGATTATGAAGATTTTACTCCAGTTCATGTCTAACACTGATGCATTAAGGATTTGATTCGCCTAATCCATATTAAGCCTGTTTTCACTAGAAATGCAGGTTACAACTCAGATTCCTGTTTCCTAAAGAGGATTTTCTGTGTAGTTTTTGAATCATCATGTTTAAAGTTCTATTTTTTTTTTTTTCCAACTATTTTACTAAATGTATCTGGAGTTTTCTGTAAGCGGGTTTCCTGCTAGCAAGTATGTTTGCAGTGCTTGTAGGGGAAGAAAAAGCCAGCAAGGATATGTGCACATCACAACAACTGATGTAAAAGCAGTTACAGTATTTCTACATTACCAGCATTAGCTCATCCACAGTATTTCCTCTGTCCTAGCAAATACCAGATGTTAGGCAGTCAAACTGAAATCATGCACTGTACGCTAGAATAACTAGCTGTGTATAGAATAATCTAATTGCAGTATATGTTTTATATGAAAGCAAAGTATAGAAGTACTTAAAGCAATGTCTTGTAATGCTTGGTTTGGATTCAGATGTTATGATTGGTGATTCACTTATGCAACGTTGGGAATTTCAATACTGAGCTGCTTCTGATCTTTTTATTTCTTGCAGCTTGATTTTGAAGGATCACTTTCACCAGTTATTGCTCCAAAGAAGGCTAGACCATCAGAAACAGGGTCAGATGAAGTAAGAAATGGTTTTCTTTTATAAATAAGAGCCTTGGAGGGGGGGTTGTTTGGTTGGTTTGGGTTTGGGTTTGTTTTTTTTTTTTTAAAGGCAAACCGGAGGAAATGCCCTCTGAGCAGTGCATTTCATCTGAGCTCATCTGAGATTACAAGCCTTTGGGGGAAGGAAAGTTATTTTGCCCTGTGCAGTGGCTGCATCACATGACCTTGCTTCTCAGGGTTCTCACTTCCAGAGAAGTAGGTTGGACGCAGGAATTAATTTAATGGATCACAAAGCAATCCCAGACAGCCTTCTGACACAGTCAGATCTCTCCTAGATGCTTCATCCTTTGAAAATGAAGTTGTCTCACTCCCATGGCTACTCAGCACCTTTAGCACGTTAGGAGCATCAAATTATATACTTGACTGAACATGCTGATTTTCACCAAAGGGTTAGGGTTTAAGATTGATTCTGGGTTTTGCCTAGACAGGAGTAGGAAGTATTCACATGGTCAAACAGTAAAGTGGATGAGGCTTACTGTCATCCCATCATAAGAGGCTTTACAAGCTCTGGTGGTCCAGTCGTGCTGTTAGCTTTTTGTGGGCTGAGAGCCCGTGGGGTTATGGACTACAGCCTACATGGAACAAAGGTCAGGTTCTAATGCCTGATGTGCTTTGGTAGGGGAGGTACAAAGAAGGCTGGGAGCATTCCGTGAATTGCATCAATACTCTGTGAAGTCTCGTGCACAGAATACTGGTGCAGAGAAGGTGCTCTCAGCTTTCTTTTGCCTTGTTCTCTTAAATACAAAGCTTTGATTCTTTTATGCACGATGGGGGTGGGAGGGTAAGGATGAAAGGTAACAGTTGGATCTCTGTGGCTTGCAGGGTTTGTGCAGCACATTTACCTTGCAACAATCACATTTGTATTGGTTTAAGGGAGGGGGGGAAACCTCTGTAACAGTGCTTTGGAGTTCTCTTGCTGGAAGGTTATGTTCACTGTGGAACCTCTGCCTCTTTCCTGTTCGTTTGGTCTAGGACTGGGAATATCTCTTGAGCTCTGATTACCATAGGAATTTTGAGTCTCATCCTGTTGCCAAAGCTTTGCGACTGGACCCTCTGGAAGTTTCGGCTCCGAAGGATGACTTTTCACAGAGCCTTAGTTTGGATTCCTCAACCCTCCTTTTCACCCATATTCCTGCTATTTTCTTTGTTCTTCACCTCATCTACGAGGAGCTCAAGCTGAATAGTCTAATGGGAGAAGGAATCCGTTCGCTTGTTGTTCTTCTGGTTCAGCTGGCCAGGTATGCCCAACTGACAAATTGCAGATATTACAGATCTTGCAGTGTCTCTTGAGGATGCGTTTGTATTATTTTTGTGGGGAATTTGGGGATTGCCCAAAGTGGAGCAGACTTTTCATGTATTTGAAGAAAATGAATGAATGTTTAAAACCTTATTGTGCTTAAAGATATTTGCTGTAGCAAATCTCTTACATGGTTCTGGCCACATCCCGACATCAGTGTGATTGACAAATCTTAGATGCTGCAGCTTGTGTTTTTTCTCTACTGCATTGTCACAGCTCAGCTCATGAGATCTGTCGGATATTCTTGTTTGTTGTGTCGTCTTCACTGCAGCCAGTGACTGCATCTTCGTGTCTTCCACAGCCGCCTTCAAGTTGCATTGCATGCATGTAGATAGATAGATACAGTGTTCAAGTAAAAGGTCCAGTAACGTCTCCCTGAGTTCTCTTTGCTATTTCTACCAAACTTTTTCTATGGCTGTAGGTTCTTCCCCAGTAGCATCTACTATGGCTGGCCAGCTAAATGGTTCCCAGAAGTGGCGTCCAGTCCCTAGTGCTGAAGAGGTTGGCCTGTCCTCTATTCTGTCATGCCAACAAGCAAGTCTGAAACGAAAGATTGTGTGTCTTTTGAGGCTGGCAGCTGTTGTACACGTTCATGTCAGCAGGTTATCTAGCTTTAACAATTGGAATTTAGAGGAAACTGTAGTGATGGTGGTCACACCTTAGGCGGTGGTGGAGGTGTGGGACAAAGCAGAATGACAGCTCAAGAGAAGCATACTCGGGGAAAATTAAACATACATACAGATTTGCTGCTTAGGGAAGGGGCAATGCCCATAAACAGCCTTAGTTAAGAAAGTCAGACTTCCCTCCTTATATCTAGTGCATAAACAAACATTCCAAAAAATCAACAGAAAATGTCACGGAAATGCAGAAAGGTTGGGTGGGGTTTTTTTCCCCTCTAATGTGATTCAAATCTCTCTCATTCTAGAGACTTAAAACTTGAAGCTTATATAGATTATTACTACAGAGACTATCCAGCCCTTGTAAAAACCTCCAGACAGACTTGCATAATTGATCAAGGTGAGTTTAAGGCTATGTGAAGCTGCATATTCGGTGATGACGACTTGCAAATTATCTCTAATACTGAGCACATTGCTAACTCTTCTCTTTAAAGCTGGTCGGGGCTTAACCCCAATACACAAAACTGCTCACAGTGCTGAGGTTGTCGTGTTTTTAATAGCTTCCTAAGAAGACTGGGGTGAAATTAGCACAGTATAGTCATGAGCTGGTGCCTCCAGTCCGGTGCCTCACGAGACACTCCACAGAACAAGAATTTGGGAGGGAACGATGTCTTCATCTTGGCAAACTCCCAGCTCAGGCTGGCTGAGAAATCTTAGCAGACAACGGTGGAAAAGCCCGGTAGTGAAATGTGCCTCTCTTGTGGAAAGTAGTGCTAGGCTGCCAGGCTCGTGGCTTATAGTTCATAACAACTAAATCAGAGCTAAAAGCACAAACCTTAAAGTTAAAATAAGGTCATATAATGTTTGTGCACCTGTTTAGTGTCCTAGCAGCTGAAATTTGCTAGTTATGCTAAGATATGCTACTGTTTCTCCTGACAAAAAAAAAAAAAAAAAAAAAAATCTTACAGTATTGGTCAGGCTTTGCTACTCATGTTTGTGGTCAGGAAAGGCCAAGAGGTTAGGCTGTCCTCTCACTTAAGCAATTTATTGTTGTTGAATTCCAAGACTGGAAGAGGAGGGAGATGCGATCTGCAACATTTTGGGAAAATACTTTGTTTGTAGTAAAACAGAAGTAGTACTGTAGGGCTTGCTTTGGGAATAGTGGAGAATTTTTGTGCATTTGCTATGAACTCAGTGCCATTGCTGTTCCTATGATTCAGTCCAAACAGGTTTCATGCACCATCCCTCATTTTTTTCTGCTGAGCCTCCAAGTATCTTTCAGTGGCTGAGTTCCTGTCTGAAGGGCGAAGGAGTGCAGCCTTATCCTTACTTACCAGGAATCTGTGAAAGGAGCAAACTGGTAGTACTGGTACGTACTTTTGTAAAAAGGATATGTTTTATTCTGTCAGCATAGCAGCACTGTGGCCAGGGTTTGCCCCAGCTGCTTAATTTCCTGCGAGTGAAGCACCCCCAATGGCAAGTCAAATAACAGAGGGTTTAATCGTACTGCGCGGAGCAGTGGGGGCATGCTGGAGGGGTATCAAGCCTGTGATAAATAACTCTGCTGTAGCTCTACTCTTCGGAGACTTAAGCATCTCCAGGCGTTGCTGCTTCATACTAAGTAGACCTCATTTGTCTGCATGAAATTCTCTTGAGTATCCCTGCAATATAGTAAACTGCAGTGGCAGCCTCTCCACAAGGAGTGTAATATGTATTTAGCAGAGAGAAATCCCTGTGAGTCTTCTCTTTTATTACTTTAATATTACTGAAGGGTGTGGATGGGTTTTAGCAGGTGGGAGGAGGTATTTGAGGTTGGGAAGGAAAGCTCGTGAGTGCAGAGTGAGTAGCCTATGCTTCACTGCTTATGTTTTTTTTTGTGGTTTGCAGTAGTGGCATGTGCAAAGTAATAATGTAACTCAAAGTTAACTGTATTTTGTGAGTGAGAATTTCCCGGCTTTCTTCTTGGGCATGCGTCAACATAAATATTTAGTCGCATGAGTAGTTACAAGTGCCGATGTTATCTCCTGGTCAGCCTCGCTGGCTTATTCGCAAAGCATTTACAGAGAAAACCTGCCAGTAGAGGGTTTGGAGCAGAGGTGTTGAGCCTGGGGTGGCTGAAGAGCAAAACAGGGAGGAGAGGCTCTGCTCTGATGCAAGATTAGTTGCAGAGTCTCCGATATGAGCTGCCAGGAGTCAGCCTGTCCTCTGCTTCAGAGTGTGGAGGGTTGAAGCAGCAGCACTGAGACTGTTTAAAGTGCTGATGCTTTCACTTAAAACTTGCCTCTGCATTCAAGCTCTGAAGAACTGCAGCCTTTCCTTTGGGCTATCATCTGTCTGTCCATCCAACTCCGTCCTTTCTCCTACCTCTGCGTGACTTACCTCTGCGGAGGTCAGAGCTGGCGTGTTGGCAGTGTATCTTACCGGAAGATCTTGATGGAGAAGGCAAAAGATTTGTACCTGTGATTTTTTGCCTTTGGCGTGCCAGCTTGTCTGTGGGTATCAAAAAGTAAATAGATCACTTTGATTTTGCTGGCTAGATAGCTGAAGTGGACCTTGCTTTGAACGGGGAACAACTTTTCACCAACTTTTCACTTGGAGCCCTCACAAAGTAGCCAGTATTCAAGATGTGGAGAAAACTGAGTGAAAAATAGTGTCTGTAGGAGACGTGTGTGTTTTGCAAGAGAAATTAAATGAAATGTGAGAAACATGGGAAATATACTAGGAACATGTTTTTCTGTTTAGAAGATCTTCTCTTTTTACCTTTGAAAGAATTATTAGGGAAAATTGAGTTAACTGTTTCAGGACTTAGTTTTTCCAAACTTCAAGATAAAAATCTAAAGCATAAGAGTTTGTTACTTGCTTCAGTTGTTTCAATCTCCTTTTACTAACAATGTTTTCATAATAAACCTGTCCCACTGATTAAGTTATTACAGTTATCGTCTGCCTATTTTGGGAGGCAGGATAGCAATAGCTGCACGCTAAGTGACTTTGTATTATGGTGTCTCTTTCCTATCCAGAGTGTGGCTCTGTATATACTTGGCGATGAGAGCGCCGTATCTAACGAAGCCTCCCATTATTTGTACAAGATTACATCAGGTAACGATGCTTTGGTGCCATCATAGTATCTCCTAGTGCCTTGTGCTTGTTATGTGCTGTCCTTTTGCTTGGAGAATGTGGAAGTAATGTGGCCTTGTCTTTCCTAGGGCAACGAAAACAGCAAATAGAACAGGAAGACAATCGGTATGGTGGTTTTTTTTTTTTTTTAGTATTATTTTAAACTCTTGAGTGTTTGACTTTTTGCTGACTTTTGGACTAGCTTTTATTGGCTCCTCCTTTATTTCCCTTTGTTTTACAGATGCAGTTTCAGACACAGCACATCTGTTTCCAGCCTGGCTGAAAAGTTAGTTATTTGGATGACTAATGTTGGTAAGAGCAGCTTTTATCATTGTGCAAAATGGTAACAATCCTAAGTAATAATCTTGTGCTTGCATAATATGAAATACACTTTATCTAGTTTTGATACGAGTTGGTTTTTTCCTCATTAATTTTAAGGTTTCACCTTAAGAGATCTGGAGTCTCTCCCCTTTGGTGTAGCTCTTCCTATTAGAGATGCAATATATTACTGCCGAGAGCAGCCTGCCTCAGACTGGCCAGAAGCGGTTTGTCTCTTGATTGGGCGCCAGGATCTGTCCAAACAGGCCTGTGAAGGGAACCTGCAGAAGGGTAAATCTGTGAGTATGGGCATAAATAGATTTCATGATACTGGGTATTGGGCAGAGCACTCTGAACAGAAACTTCCCCACCATCTGCTGATGCTCAGGGCATCAGAAGGTGCAGAAGTCAAGATTGAGGGCAACACAGGGTTTACATGCATATGAGGGTTTCAGTATAAAAACCAGCATCCGGCACAGGAAGAGTACATGCATAGCTGTGGAAACTGTCAATATAAAACAGATTTTAAACTTAATTTAGGCATGGTGCTTGAAAGCTTTGCCTGCAAAGCTATTTGATTGCCTCTGAGTCCTCCTCCTGTCTGAAATGACTGCACCTTTGAGAGGTGTTGGAGAGGTTTTGGTACTCTGTCCAGAGACTCTGCCATTAAGACATCAATGGCACAGGGAGAACGAAGTGCATATTTGTCAGTCTGGCTCCTTCTGGGATTGGCATAGCTGGTATCTCCCTCTCCTCTGGAAGAACTGGATTGCTTTCCGAAATACACGTTTCATTTTTTTTCTTTTTCTCCCTCCCCCCACCCCCCCCCCCCACC